GAACGCAGAAGACGTTCCAGTGTTCTGCAGCGAGGGCAGAACCAAGATCGAAGCCGTTCCCCATGGGATCGTCGGCCTTCCAATTCCCAAAGACAGTCGGGAGGAAGCCTCAGCCCCCGTTCCAGGCAGCAGCGGCCATCTCAGGCACGATGCCCCTCCCGGGACCAGCCCTGAAGATCCTGCAGGAGCAGCCATGGACCAGAGGGAAAAAAAAGAAGCGTTAATGGCTTACGAGCTGGTGTGGCACGGCCCCGTGACTATAGAGGCAACGGACTCGTGGGCCCCAGGAGAAGCATACGGAGATTGCAGACGGGTCTACAAAAACTGCAAAGCAGCGGCAACCATCTGACGAGTCCGCGAGAGGGAGAGCAGCCGGTGTCCTGCCAGGAGCTGCAGCTTTCTTCCTCTGAGCCCAAAGTCCTCTGGGGAATGCCGCTCCTCCTTTCCCCTCCGACAACCAAAATGCCTCAAAAAAGCAGTGCACAGAACCAGAACATCAACTCTCCAACTCCCACCGCTTTACGTGATGTTCTGATGTGGAATACCAACAACAAAAATTACAACACCACAACAAAAAATAAAACCAAAAATTTACCCCCAAAAAGCTGTCTAGTGTCTACTCTCTAAACCGGGAGCTGAATACTCCAGCTACACCGTTAGAGGTACACCGTGAGGATGAAGAAGGATCCAGGGTATATCCCCTGCATAAGGAGCAGGGCAGATATCTTTACACAAGCACAGCGCTTCCAGGAGGACTGGTCAGAGAAGATCCAACCAAAGGCTTACAGGCAACACAGGCTCTTGGCATATGTATGTAGCTTCATTGCCAGAGCAGGCTGATTTTGCACAACTATGGCTACGCTACACCCAGCCTGTCCTAGCTCATATTGAGCCCCCTTGGTACCCTCCACACGCAGCTCTTTGGTGGCGTTCACACCCAGCATGACTGCAGTGACTGCAAGGGGTCCGCTGCTGAGCTACAGCCCAGTTCAGCTGCATCTCAGCGCTTGTCTGAGCACGCATCCACAGGTAAAAGACATGCAATCGGACACCCCTGATGCAAGAGGACAGAGAAACTGCACTCACTCACTTCATTGCAGTATCTCCCTGCCTTCTGTCACCAGCTGCTCTTTAACCACAGGCCCTCTGCAACCTCTCTTGACGTCGGATGCCAAGATCTGATGTCAGCAGTGCCAACCGGAGCCTGAAATATTCCAGCTGCCCACTGCCCACCTCTTCTTCCTTCCAAACCTAGCAATTTGTGCTAGGTGCATGCACACACAAATGCTGTCATTACAGCTCTGCTCTCAGCAAAACTAATGAAAGTTAACTTGAATTACATCAGCAGAGGCCGAGCTCAGTTTTTTATCAGGGAAAAACTGAAGGAGCTAACACAAAGGAGATGCAATGAACTTGCTCATGTACCTACTTCTGGCAGTAATACTAAGGTACTGCCCATACAGTAGCACTTACAGTCCTGGCCCCGAGACTAAACAGGCAAGGGAATGAATAAGAATCCACTACGAATAAAATAATAAAAAAGCATATCATAGCTCCATAAGATTGGAAGCAATTCAGGGAAATTCTAAGATCATTACATCATAGAGTCATGGAACGGCTTAGTTTGGAGGGGCCCTTAAAGATCATCTAGTCCCAATCCCCCTGCCGTGGGCAAGGCTGCTGTCCACCAGATCAAGCTGCCCATGATCCAGGCCAACCTGCCCTTGAATGTCTCCAGAGATGAGGCATTCACAGCCTCTCTGTGCAACCTGTGCCAGTGCCTCACCATTCTCTGAGTAACAAAATTCTTCCTAACGTCTAATCTAAATCTCCTCTCTCTTAGGTTAAAGCCTTGTCCTATCACTATCTACCTGTGTAAAAGGAAGGTATTCCTCCTACTTGTAAGATCCCTTGAAGTACTGGAAGGCCGCAATGAGGTCTCCCTGGGGCCTTCTCTTCTCCAAGCTAAATATGCCCAACTTCCTCAACTTTTCTTCACAAGAGAGATGCTTCAGTCCTTCAGTCATCCTTGTGGCCCTCCTCTGGACGCAGTCCAACAGCTCCACATCCTTCCGCTACTGGGAGCTGCAGGCCCAGACACAGTACTCCAGATAGGATCTCATGAGGGCAGAGTAGGCAGGGACAATGATCTCCTGCAGTGACTGCAAGGGGTCTTCTGCTGAGCTACAGCCCAGTTCAGCTGCATCTCAGCGCTTGTCTGAGCACGCATCAGTAGGTCAAATAATTGGAGGGGGAAAAAAAAGTGTTATTGGGCCTGTCCAGCACAGCCCAGTGACTGATGAGGCAAGGGAATAAATAAATCCAATATGAATAAAATGAATATATTAACATCACTATTAAACCATTTCACCTTCTTTTATTTTTCATGTGCTTTCCCCCCCCGTCTTTGCTTTTCCCCAGGCTCATACATTCTGGGTTCTTGCTTTTTATTTCTGCATAGTATCTTCCTTGGCAGATGGCATGCAGACCTGGCTTTACCAAACACAAGGCAGCAGAAGCTATCATCAGGAGCAGCTTTCAGACCAGCAGAACAGTGTTTCAAAAAACATCCATGTGCTTAAGAATTTTTCCAGGTGCATAGTTTTTTTCTGCCAACTACTGACAACTGCCAAGTTCCTACAGTCCTTTAGATATCAAATCTCGGGAATGTAAGTGACGAGACCCACTCTCATCCAAAGCGAAGGGGTTGCCAAGCCAGGGAAGAGAACTTTATCTGCCTTCTGCCGTGTACCTCCAGGACAACTCCAGGGCGATAGGAGCATTGGGCCAGGGCAGCCGCACCGACCCGGCGGGCTACAGACAGCGCAGCGCCGGCCGGCCTGCAGGGGGCGCCAAAGCACCGGACGCGGCGCTTTGTGGCGCAGCGGCTCACGCCGCTCCCCTCCGCCCCCACGAGCGCCCGCCTCGCCGTGCTGGCATCAGTCTGAGAGGGCGGTGATGTAGGGGCGGAGGGGAGGAGTTGTACCTACCTGCCGCACTCGTTCTGCTTTCCAAGAAATACACTATTTTTTTCTCTTATTTATTTTTAATTTTTTTCTCTCACGTTTGGCCTGCATTATTCTCCAGCTCCTACAACAGTTGTTCTCCCTTATATCAGCCCCGAGTGCACATAAATCGCTTTTTGTACACCGACACTGATTGTGGCAGAAAGCTCAGCCTGTACTGGGCTCTCTATGCAGCCTTGGGCTGCGCTCATCCCTATCTGCTTTCCTTAGAAAACCCCTACAGCTCACACTGATCCTCAAAGCTCCCATACACTGCAGTTTTATGCATCTCCCTTTTATTATTGTATGCCTTTGTCTTTACTCTCTGTGGTGCAGAGGGATGCTTTATCCAGGGTTCATGTCAATAAATCACTCTTACAAGTGGCCATGCTGAATTCTCTGCATCTGATGCTGTGCAGACAGACAGCACTGAAGAGTAACATAGAAGATAAAAGCGTAGTTACACTGAGTATTTCCAAATTGTGGTAACCGAAGTCACCTTCATAGAGTATGTCCATAGCATGGCATGGAGGCAACTGAGGATATTGTGGGATTCTGGATGGGTGATGGGACTTCAGTTCTGGAGCGGCTGGGAATCATAGAAACATAGAATGATTAAGGTTGGAAAAGACCACTAAGATAATCTAATTTAACCATCAGCCCATCTCCACCATGCCCACTAACCGTGTCCTGCAGCCCCACATCACAGTTCTTGAACACCTCCAAGGATGGTAACTCCACCACCGTTATCCAGCTTTAAGAAATTCATGTCTGTATACAATACATCAGATAAAACAGGGAAAGAGATAGATATCATCAGATAGAACAGGGAAAGAAAACAAAACAAAACAAAAACAAACAAGAAAACAATAAACTTACCCCATACTTTCTCAGAGCCCAACAGACTCCCCGGAAGAACAGGAAGCTAGGCAGTCTAATGGCCTCGACATTCATCTGACTTAACTTCTACCACTTAGAAGCTACTGCAGACAGTCCTAAACCTTACTTGCCCATGAGCTATAAGCTGAACAGAATGGTACAAAAGAGGCCCACTATCAGAATTAAGTTTGCATCCTGCTCAAATATGGTATGCAGCTGGTTTGACACTGTGGTGTCAGAGGATGATACAAGCTACAGAGAAAGAATATGCAAAGAAAGAAGGCACAGTGAGGCAGAGTAGGGAATGGCTTCCATGTGGGAGTGCATAAGTAGATTAAGACTCAAATAAATTGCCTCTCTTACAGAGCAGGGAATATAATAGGGAGCTAGTGACATGGAAAGGGTAAACAGGAACAGATGTCATGTATCTTCCAAATTAAGACCTAGTAAATAAAATCAGGAAGTTCAAAATGAACAGAAAGCAGCATGTCTGCACACAATTAATTGTGGAGCTTTAGAGTTTGCTGAAAGACAGTACAATTTTGCATGTGTTCAAAAAGGGCTTGGGGACATTCAGGGAAGAGGAATGTGTGAAGGCTCTTGTATTGACAGACACTGACAATGGATCAGGAAGTGCCTGCACCAGAGGCTGATGAGGCTGCATGTGTGCTGCTGTTGGCTTCTATCATGCATGGGGCTCACTTAGGTGGACCTTTGGATGGATATTCTGTAATAGGAATGTATGTGGAGGGTAATATCCTTTTGTAGGTGTTGTAGATGTTCAGCAGTTGCCTTTAAATGTAGACAAAGGAAGCACTTCCTAGTCCCTAAGGTGGCAGTAGCTCAGTGCGTAACTACATTTTTGCTTGGCTGCATATCAGACCTTTCTTCTACTGACAGGAGGAGAGGTAATGGCCTCAAGTTGCACCACTGGAGTTCCAGGTAGGATGTTAGGGCAAATTTCTTCTCTGAAAGAGTGGTGAGAGACTGGAATGGGCTGCCCCAGGAGGCGGAGGAGTCCATGTCTCTGGAGGAGTTCAAGAAATGTGGAGATGTGGCACTGAGTGGGCATGGCTTAGTGGGCATGGTGGTGATGGGTCAATAGCTGAACTGGGTGATCTTAGAGGTCTTTTCCAAACTTAACAACTCCATAATTCTGCAGTTCTCTTATGCACTGGGTTTCTGTAGCCTCAGTTGTTCTGTGGTGCATAGCTGCAGGTAAATAATGGCAGTCACACCAATTAATTTTCTTCAATGAGTGCATATAAAATAGAAGCTTCTCCACTTTTTTTCTTCTTTTTAAATAAGCAATATGAGTTATGAAGCTGAACTCAGACATGAAAGTACTTCAAAAATAAAGGTTCAGTTTGTACACCTTCTGATTATGGCAGCAGATTCATTTCAATGTGTAAAGCTATTTTATTTCGCCTCATAATATTCAATAAAGCCCTGAATTATAGCAAGA